GTTACTTTTCCCTGGCCCCTCCCTCTTCCTCTACTTCACCGTAGTAATTTTATTTAATGTCATTTAATTGGAAAGTACTTTACCTTTGCTGGGACTCGAACCTCGGTCATCCGAGTTAGGAACCCGTCGCCTTGACCACTAGACCACGAGTTCGCCGGTAAGGGGACCGTGTCCGATACCGGGGTCCCTCCTCGGCCAGCCTCGAGGCTCTACGGGCCAGAAGATTATAACCGACGAACCACGAGCGACCTGAAAGCGTACTGAAGTCCCTCTCTTCGCGACGCGAGCAGAACGCACACATAAAGTGAACAAATTATTTTGCGGCGGGCACTGACTGACAATGTTCTGTTTTGTGCGAAGCTGCGTACAACTGTCCACAAACATAACCTACGTACAAAATTTACGGAACTATGTACAACATTCTCCGTAATTATGCATAATATCGCTTAAAATTGTGCGTACATTACGTATGTGCATAGTTTTACGGAGGCATGCGTCCTCTCTCTACGAGTGCGTCCTCTCTGCGACTTCAACTCGTATGTAGACTGACGTGGGCGCTGTGTCCAGCTGCCAAAGTGTGCAGTGTGCAGTGCAGAGGAGCCGTCGGGCTCCGGGGGTTTCGGGGGCCGCCCCATCGTTCTCCTCTTCTGCTCTCAAGTGCGCCGGTCTAGGGATTAGCGCTAGCCCCCGGCCGGGGTTTCCAGGGAAGGAAAATACCTCAACTACCCGGGGCTCTCCAGGTGAACCGAAAGCGTACTGGGGTCGCTCTGTTCGTCTCGGAGCGACTTGAAAACATACTCAGGTCGCCCGTCCGCGCATGGAGCGACTCGATGACAGACAATGGTCGCTCTGGCGCGAACCTCCGGCGAATCTTGGCGATACGTCGCCCAGGAGCCTGACGAACCTCGGCGACCCATCGGCGCACCGAGCGCGACCCTCCGCGAACCGATAGCGTACCGAAAACATACCAAAAGCAAACAAATCTTTTCGCGTCGGGATATGCAAGGTTTGTTAAATTCTCATTTTTGTTCAATAGCTCACCCGATTACATCCTTCTTATGGGAATTTACGTGATTACTCTCCTTCTGTTCGCTTTCGCCTCATGGAGAACTGTTTACGCTCGCTGGAAAATGTGCGAGATAACACGGTAAGTAAGGATGGTGCCTCCCAGTGAACGTTTCGCGAGGCGACCCTTATGATAGCACCTGCGAAACGCTGGGTAGGCCAAGACAGCGGCCCGCCCAGACCCGAGTGTCCGCGCAAGAGAACGTTTTGTAGTCCAGCGAGCTCCGCATCACCCCGAGGGCCGTTCATTGTGGAGGCACCTTTTGACTTTGTTTTACAATATTTAGCAGCTGATACAGTTGATACTTTCTAACACGTACCATGGCCCTCATTTCTGCAGAGCTTTGGTAAGATACTGTGAACGGCATTCTCTCTCGCCTTCATCCTGGCGTTTGCTACTAGTAGCTGCAGTGCTGACGGCTGCTTTTGGCGTCTTCCATTTGGCATGGGCTATTGACACGTTTACCGACTCCCATTTCGCCTTGTGGAACAAGGGTTTCTGGGGAACTGCGTTGTACGCTGTATTCTTCCTCTTGGGATGGCACTATAACCTGGTTTTTGCGACAGTGCTTGTCCCTGTTGTGCTTTTGGCTTCGCTTGTTGCCGATCTACGCCAGAATTGTGTAGAGCTTCTCCAGAACGTCAGTAAAAACCCGGACGCAAAAGATTCGGGGATGCAATCGAATGAGTTCTCTCCAGAGGTAAGGCATATGGGGAGATTCTCGTTTTCTCACAACGTTTTCTTTTCTACTTTTTTCTACAAATAATATTGCATTCTGAACCTATTTTGGACCATATTTTAATTATGTGCGTTTAACAAAACTAATAAATAACATTTTGATTTTGCAGTATGTGCGCTTGCTTTGGAGAAGTATGCGCTGCCAATATCAATCTCTGTTCGATATCTTTTCTGCAACGCGGAACCTTTTGCAATGGCATCTTGTCTATTTGTCGTTCTCTAGCTGTCTATCCTCTGCGCTTCAATTATCAGACTACATTATCTTCTATAACTCAACAACGCCTCGGAGTCGTTTTCAATTGGCACAAATACTATGTCACGCCGTGCGCTTTGTCATGCTTTGCCTCGCATGTCAAAAGTTTCAATCAGAGGTGTGTGCACCATTCACTGTTCAAAATCCTACAGGAAATTCTACAGTTTGCCCTGTCAATTTGTCGCTAGGGTCGCGACTGTAATTTTTGATTACAGTCCACTCCGTACAGGATGTACTGTAACTTCGCCAACCGCCTTTTTGGTCAACACAGCACTTGACTTCAACACTGAAGTACAGCCCATATCATTACAGTCTGGCCTGTACATAAAATATACAGGACGAACCGTAGTCAAACTGTAATTCCTTACAGCATTTTTAACAGTGTTGCCCCACGGGTCCGTGGGCAAGCCTCTATGTGTAAAATGGAGCGCACATTAATGGTGTAGTCAACTTTGTCTTTTCACAGAGCAACGAAATGCGCCAGTCCATGCTCGCATACACATCACAGCTCAGAGAATTTAACCGAGGCAATGAGGTAAGTTGGGCTAGCACCTGTACGACAAGGTGTAATACGCGTCAGATATGAGATGCCTGTAGAAGGCTTGGTTATTTCATTTATATTGTTTGGACAGGTCCACATGTTTGCTGTTCAAATCAAATGTCAGCAGAATGGAATGTGTACGGTGCTATGGTCGTTTGACATTAACTCAGGAACCGCTTTGCAGGTATTTTTTTGTTTGTAGCTACAACTCATGCAATCTCGTTACACCGCGACACACATCTTTTGCCACCCCCACCTAAGGTATAATGTAGTATACATGTACCTATACACGTGCCCGTGATAAATTCACATCGAAACTAAATCGTTTCGACGTCAAATCCACATTACACATATTGGACATCGCTTTCGATGTCGACTCAATCCCTAGTCTGCCTTGCAGTCGCCAATGATCAATCAAATATTGACGAAAAATTGACGAAAATTCGTCAAAACGTAACCACAGAAGGAGCCACATTTTCATCAAATTGATATGATTGATCACTGGAGACTATGGGACCTGGGACGTCTTATTTTGTCCAACATATATTGTTTGTGCTGTTTCAGATGTTGTCCGCCATAGTTTCCTATACTATCGTCATGCGCCAGAGTGACATCCACTTTTATGAATCATATGAGGATTAGTTACAAATTTTTAAAATTGGTATCCAGATCTGGATACCTTTTATTGATTAAATACATTGCAACAAATCTCGAGATGCCGTTTTGATGCAATGTATTTAATCAATAAAAGAAATTTGGGTACTCGTGCGTTGCTAGATGTTCTGGAGCACCCGTTTCCCGTTGGGGTCCCTACCTAGCTTCCCGAGCTGAACCAAAATAGATTATTCGTGGCTCCACGGTAAAAACAATATCTCAATTTTTGAGGGAAAAGGGAAAATTTTGAGGAGCTCCCTAGGTTCGAGGAAAGTCCTCAGATTTCGAGGAAGTCTCATCGGAAAATGTGGGATATTTCCTCATTTATTGAGGACGTCCGCCAACATCTGAGACGAGATCTGGAGGAGTTTTCCTCAAATATGAGAAATCCTCAAAGTTTTCCCTTTTTCCCCAAAAAATGACACATCGTTTTTACCGTGTCTCGTCATACAGAATGGCCATTCGAATGGCTGAGTTCTTGGCCTTTGTGTTGTGCCAACACCATTTGTGTGTTTGCTACTCACCGGGTGGCCAGCCAGTTAAGTAATATATATGTTATGTCTTGGGTATCATCTATGACGCTCGTCCCCGCAACTGAGCCCCCGTGTGACCGTGTTCTATAGGATATACAGTCTTGGGGACTGTCTAAAAAATTGCTGAACGCTTGAACTTGAGAAGAACCCCTCGTACAGTGCGAAACCCCGTACTCACGCGTGCAGCCTGCGCAGGCCGGAGGGTTGCGGCGGGGGGGTCTGCGGCTGGCTGCCGGCGCTGGCCGACGGCAGCTCCACGCTCACGTTGTGCAGCTTCTCCTGCTCGCGCTCGAAGTAGGCGTACAGCTGGTTGGTCCACTCGCCCACGCCGCGGATGTGCAGCCACATGTAGTCCTCCTGCTCGGGCGCGCTCGAGATGGTGAAGGGGTGCCACTCGTACACGGCGATGGACGGGATGTTGACGAACACGTAGTCGCCCGGGTGGAAGTCGAAGTGCGGCGGCCGCTTGATGACGAGGTGCGTGACGCGCGACGGCAGCAGCAGCCCGGACGAGATGTACGTCTTGCCGCGCTCCGTGCGCATCCACGTGAAGCGCAGCAGGCGCTCGATGAGGAAGAGCACGCCGGGGCCCAGGAACCACTTCCAGAAGTTGGGGCCGTGGAAGACGAGCAGCGCCCAGAACGGCACGTACAGCAGGTGGGTCCAGTAGAAGATCTGCGGGGGTGGAGGGACCAAAGAAGCGTTAGTATTACGGTGACTTACACGTTTAATTCCTTTCTGGTGGTTTAGTATGAGAAAGAGGTAACCTCGAAGCAGCCCCCGCGGCGCACGAAGGCCTGCGAGCAGAAGAACATGACGAGCAGCAGCACGCCCAGCGCCACGCCCGTGGGGTTGGCCGCACCCCCGACCAGGCCGTACACCCCCGGCTTGGAGGTGAGCAGCCACTCGTACAGCGTGTAGTTCTTGGCGTTCACCACCGGGTCGTTGACCACCTGCAGCGCTGTCGTCAGAGCAGGAAGAGAGCGTTACTAGGGGACGGACGGCATCGGGCGGCAAGGGGGAGGAGTATGGGAGCGGGAGGTGGCGTACTGAAGTTGAGGAGATGGGCGACGGTGTGCACGGACGCGTAGACGAAGATGAGCACGCCCGTCACCTTGTGGAAGTAGATGTGCTGGTCCAGCGGCAGGAATTGGCTGAAGCCGCGCGTGCGCAGGTACGTGATGCAGTGGCGCAGCATTAGCACCAGCACCATCATGCAGTTGAAGTTGAGGCACTGGCCTGCGAACCAAACCACCACTCTCAGGCTCGATCGCCCCTGATATCTCCACGGGTCTCGACTTACATAAATTAATTTAATATTGTTTCCACCCACCGCAAGCCCTGGCCAGGATGATGTAGCCGTTGTGGAGGCGGTACTCGATGGCGCGCGACACGAACAAGCC